AATCGCAGTAGGAGTATGAAAACAATTGATGACTGAGGGGTACTTATATCGCCCGGCACAAGGACCTCTAGATTACTATTATTTGGTCGATAACAAACAAAAAGCAACAGCTGCGGTTCGAATGTTTCTTCCTGATGGTCTTCCGCCGTGCATCTGCCATAACAATACCGGACGGCATCGACACGGCGTGATGTGGTGTGGCAGATCGAATGAAAAAGTGTATACGTGAAAGTTCAACACTGACCTTATTTTACCAAATTATTCCATAACATCGCATATTAAGTTATAAGTATACTACCCGGTTCAATCGGATTTTGAATTGTTGACCCGAATAAATATGGGAGTCCGAAAGGCCTTGAAACATCTGTCAAGGTTGAACGCGACTACACTTGGTCTCTTTCTTCTTCCTCTTATTATATATTATTATTTCTACTTGTTCTTTTTTAAACAAAACAACGTCGAAAATACCCACTTGGATTTTTTAAGCGATTCAAACGATATTTTTTAACAAATTGCAACACACTAAATGTTTCTATGACGTGCAGTTTACTGATTAGTTTTACCTTAAATATGTCAAACCAAATATTAGATATGCTGTTGGTTCATGATTTACATTAAAGCGAAAAATGTATTTCGAAAGGTTATATTTTTTTATCGTTTAGTGGTTTAAGTAATTATTCCAAAAAGGCATTTGCCATAAAATTGAATGCCAAAGTTTCTCATTTGGAAAATTAATATCTGGTAGATACCAATGCATGTATGAACGTTTTCGCCAATGAAGTTGTTTGGGAAAATGAAAACGTTTCTACTAAAAATAATACTGCTTTTATAAAAAACAATTAATCAAATCAAAATGTTTCTAGAATGTTAAAAAAAAAATATTTTTGAAGAGAAAAAATTGACATATAAGTACTCAAAAACTGACGCTTTCTTTTGAAAAGAAAATTTTGGAAATTCAACTTCCAGTTCGAGAGATAACCAAATAAACAAAATTTAAATCTTAAAATGGACAAAATTGAATTAAAATTGACTTTACACGTATGTATGTCTACACTATCATACCATCACGTAATATTACGTGTATTTTAGCATCTACATATTTATATGCAGAGGAAAGCATTGTGTAGGTAGCGCCTGTGGCAAAAAAGGAATGACATGTACCATCCATTTGTTGCTATCTTCCTGTCGATATTTGAATAATTAGGCGTTTTTTGTAGCTAACTGTTTGCAAAATGCGTGATTAACTAATAGACACGCTGCACCTACCTTTTGATTAGTGAAAAATCGTATCTATTCTCTATTGGTGAAAAAGATCAATAACTAAAGGAACAAGTACAAAAGAATCAACAGAAAAGGTCTGCGAATTTTTCGGAAAAATTATTTTATAAACCAATACTATTTTCATAAGAAAGCACACAAATTAATTAATAAGTTAAAAGAATAAATCATTATATTGCGAAACAATTGGTGAATTTTTTAGCCGATTTTATGAGAATTAGGTAAAAATTTTATATTTTACTGACTGGTCACAAGGAAGTCTTTTCAGTATATGCACACTTGAAACACATGCTTCGTTATAGTCTCTAAAACTTTATAAAAAGTTGTCATATAAAAAATGTCGGTAATTAACTGGAGTTGTTTAATAGGTGACATGAGGTTGTCGTTCTGTGCGATCAATTTATTGAGACGCGGTTTCCCATCGGTATATTTTTTATCTGAGACCGTTTCAGTCGTAAAAGTTGGAAAAGCGTTCTGTTAAACACCCATAATAAACAGGTGATTGTAATTACCCGACAGACGTACTTGCAGGACAAACCGGAAAGGTACAAACCCGAGAAAACCACATTAATGGCTTCGTTTTTTATACGATCGTAATTATTTTGTGACTTAAAAGTTCATGGTTAATGTCCTCTTACTGACCTATTTTTACTTTCACATCACAAAAAAAACCAAAACAATAAAGAAGTTCCTTAATTCATAATTTGATATCCAATTAACGAAAGTATTTCACAAATTGTTTTTTTTTCAGAAATCGTTTGTGATTGTAATAATAACATTTAAAATTAGTTTACCTAGACAAAATAATAATATTCTATGTATAATAATTTGTTATTAAGTAATATATTACTAATAGTAAATATTGGAGCAAAATTTAGTAATTTCGAATAAATACGAGTACAATAAACGCGAGCGAAATCGAATCTAATGATTCAGCAGATCGTTAAATTAATAAAATATGAGCTGTTGTATATGCAACCCAACATACAACCCATGAGCTGACCAATGGACATCATACCATTAAAATATCCAAGTCATTAAAAGACAAATAAACTGTCGAAGTATCAGTTAAGAAGGCCATAATTTTCTTATATTTTAAATAAATTGAATTTATGAACTGTAAAACAAAATTCAATCTTTTTAAGTAAATCAGTTTATAATTAATTCATTGTATAATGTACATTCTTTTGATAAGTAATTACATTCATTAGTAATATAGACATGCTTACTTCCGTTGGAACGTGTCAAAAATGAGGTCACAGAAACAATTATTATAAAACTGCCTTTTTCATACTTTGCATGTTTCACAATTGCAACTTTTTTTTTTAATGAAAATGCAAAATAAGAGACTGTTTTCGTACTTGAACGTGTACTTGATAGGCAAAATGCATGTCTACCTACAATACGTATCTTCGAATTCCAAAGAACTAATCTAACTGGAGGTAACAAAGGTCATGTTTTGATTTTATGAATGTCAATGTTTCATAATAATTTTAAAAACAATACTATTATGAACAAACTACATTAATGTTTAGCAAATAGAACTTTGAATAAATTTAAACAATGATACCTACCTAACAAATAAAATGGTTTAAATTTAATTTCTCGATCAGCCTAATAAGGATTACCGTGTACGATTTTTTTCGATAAAAACAAACGTACTAACAACAGTTTTTAGCAGAATCGCAGTAGGAGTATGAAAACAATTGATGACTGAGGGGTACTTATATCGCCCGGCACAAGGACCTCTAGATTACTATTATTTGGTCGATAACAAACAAAAAGCAACAGCTGCGGTTCGAATGTTTCTTCCTGATGGTCTTCCGCCGTGCATCTGCCATAACAATACCGGACGGCATCGACACGGCGTGATGTGGTGTGGCAGATCGAATGAAAAAGTGTATACGTGAAAGTTCAACACTGACCTTATTTTACCAAATTATTCCATAACATCGCATATTAAGTTATAAGTATACTACCCGGTTCAATCGGATTTTGAATTGTTGACCCGAATAAATATGGGAGTCCGAAAGGCCTTGAAACATCTGTCAAGGTTGAACGCGACTACACTTGGTCTCTTTCTTCTTCCTCTTATTATATATTATTATTTCTACTTGTTCTTTTTTAAACAAAACAACGTCNTAACACGCTAATTAATGAAAGAGAAGCAGCGATTCGATCCTTATAGGTAGGCAGTTAATTTATTTGGAACGAGAATGAGGGGGCACTCTCGGTACCGATGTGGAATCACAAGTTTTCTACTTCAAATTAATAATTAAATGATATAAATCAGAAGTCACGTTTCTCTTTCGAATTAAATATAATTGTAACTTACGAGACGTTACAGCATCCAGGAAACGAAACTGCAGAGAAATTGGATCAAAACAAACAAAAAAAGAAAAACGAAATTCTAACTAAATAACGAAGTAAAGGGAATAATGATTTATTTTATCATACCCCCAGAAATTAGGGAAGCAGCAAATATAAAGGTAGGAGACGAAAGATTAGAAAAAGTGACTGATTTTCGGTGTCTAGAGAGTCAGATAACTCGTACCTAGGATGTTAGATAACTCAGAGTGGAAGGAGTAGTAAAGATATAAAAAGGGGATGTTTACGACTTTCATTTTTTGGTATTTGAATAAGGGGTAAACAATGTCCTCAAAATGTATTTTTTATAAATATTTTGTTGAAAAATTGAAACATTCCTTTAAAAATAAAATCCAAAAATATTTCTAGAAAACCTTGCATATTTTCTTCGCCATAATAGCTGATAAAAATGCACAGAAATAAAATTTACTGGTCGCATTTTTAACTAAAATTATACGTAGATAACAAGTACCAACTTTTATAATTAGAGCAAGATAAGTGGTAAATATAAGGATATCCTAATTTATTATTATTTTAATCGACAGGCAAGTCTATAAAGCCACTTAAGTTAAAGATAGCCAAATGCTTGAGTAGTATTGACTAAACGAACCACCTGTAAAGGTGCAGAACTGATATAATAATCAATAAACAGTTAAGTGTCGTATAAGTATAGCGCAAATAAGAAAACACTGATAACCAGTTGAGACAAATAGAAAAAGATTTTATGTTATTTGCGAAAATTGAAACTGTAAACTGTATCTGTTTGATCCGTTAGAACGGTAACAAGATTATGATTATGATCTATTAGCAATTTCCTAATTGCAATTATCGGAGGTATTAACTTTTTACTCCATAATTAATTTTATCAGACGGCACTGCGTTAAACCAGCACTCGTTATTGTTACCGGAAAATAACGGTTACAGTTTAATGTTTTAATACCCATTTAAAGTTTCTTCTTCTTCTACCCCTTTTCCTTTTCTTCGAACATTAGGAGGTCAAAGGTCACATTATATATTATCCGTTCCAGGATTGGCATTAATGGAAAAAATCCTTTATAAATAAATAAATACTTGACTACACAACAAGAAATAATTTACAGTGTTGTAACCAGGGTGACTTCAAGCAAATAAGTACGAAGTAACAAGTTTGATTTTGAATGATGTACTTTTGGATCACTGAATGGACTATTACGAATGTTAAGTCAATCAAGGAATTCGTTTTTGGTTTCCTTTGGATTGAAAATTTTACTGTTCTTCGTAAAACATAAAAATAATCAGTACCTAATAATCATGTAACGGGATGTAATTCGAAGCAGATAATTAAGAGACAATAAAAAGAAGTTCATGCAACTTACACTTGGAAGCAGATCGGTTTGGTGGTGGTCTCCCTCAATTTATCCAAATCTGGTGGCGACTTCCTGGCATTGATCGGTCTCCTATCGGGCATTCTGACCCTCATGCTGTGGTTAATCCTCATCTGTCTCGGTTGCAATGGGGGTGGAACATCCCGGCTGAGATTCTCCGCAAAAGACGCCCTCTGACCTTTGTTCTCGCTCGACAATGACCCAGAAGACTTTTTCAATTCTTCCAATTTATTATTGTCGTTCGTGGTGGTGTAATGGGGTTTTAACGGTTCGATTCTGTATTGCTCTGGAGTAAGACCAGAAGGAATTTTTTGACTTGTTGCCACGATACCGTTCAGTGTTAGTTTTTGGGCACACGGGTACCTTACGCTTGATCTTTCGTAAGCCCTTTTTAAGATCGGGAAGTCTCCATTATTGCTAAACGATTCGTCGACACTGTTTTCTTTATTGGGTCGACTTATGTTCTGAGATCTCTGATAATGAGCGTCGTAGGGGCCAAAACTATGCCTCGATATCGGTTTCGCCCTTCCTTCCATAATCTTCTTGGTTTCCGTGTCGAAGTCTTTCAGTCTCCTACTAGTATTTGTGGTTTTTTGAACTTGTGGCTCAGCTGCTTGCCTTATCTTATTACTATGGTTATCGTCGTGCCATTCGTTTGTGTCTTGGTGTTGTAATTCAGGTGGTGGGGGAGGAAACGGCTCATCGTTATTTATAACTTCGTCCTCGTTAACGTTGGGAGGTGAAGGGGGTGGAAGATCGGGACTCGGAAGTCTCCGCACAAACAAATCAGGAAAGGCGCTTCTGAGATTCGGGTTCTTCGGGGGCCTTTCGGGAGGTTGTTGAGGTACCCAGTCGTCCACTGATATCGCAGGGCCAACAATCATGGGACCCAACAAGTCTGTTGATAAACTGCCACATGAATTGCTGTGTTGGTGTTTCGTTATTAGCTTCTGTTCTTGTTTGGCTTCTCGTGGAGACGATAAGCTACTTCGTCTTGAATTTGTACCAGAAGCGTAGTCAGAAGCACACGAAGCTCTTCTGGAAGGTGATTGGAGATTGACTCTCGGAGGTGGTTGTGGCACTGGGGCTAAAGTTGGCTGGGAATGGGCCAGTTGAGGTTCCGATCTCCAAATGTTCGTTGCTTTCGTCGAACCGCTGCTCGTATGGTGTCTTTCGTAGAAAGATAAGAGAGCTTTCTTCTGGATGGCTTTCAACGTGGGATCAGGAACTTTGTGTCGCTTGTTGGGATCCAAATAAGAATACTTTTGTTGTTTTTCGAGTTCGCTAATCTTGTCTGCAACTGAAGGAGTCGACAATGACGAAAGCCTGGAACAAAAACAAACCAATTTATTGAACTGCTTTACACGAAAAATCAAAATTTATATTCTCACCTTTGATTGTACTCCTGCTGTTTCTCTGAAGGTTTCATAGTGTACGTGTTGACGGGAAAAAGTTTGAGTTTGTTCGCGTTGTTGATACGCTTCTCCCTTTCGGTCCAGTTCTCTTGGGTGTCGCTGCCGATGTAGAGAACGCTCTCGGAGTTGTGCTTCTGTGGAGTTTTCACCCTGGCACTGTGTGCTATCAGTTGCCTGGAGGTGGAAGGATTGATGGAACTGGTCGCGTGGGTGCACGTGCTACTGGCTATCGACACGTCACTGATTGAACCGTGCCATTTCAACGTTTCACTAGAGGAACCACTGCTTGATCCTGTAGTCACTACACTGTCCCGTCCTTCCCGTTTCGAGGACCCGTTATCCTGTTCTGACACTTCGTCCCAACTGCCAGCCGATTGGGCGCGAGCCGTTACAGCTTGAGAGTCACGTCTGAGCCTGTCGAGGAAAGGGGTCGACGTGGAATCGCTACTCGACACGTAACTGTGGTACCCTTCCGATTGCGCGTATGAGGGCTGTTTTTGATGTTGTGGAGCGAAGGGCTCGTCGTAGGTTTTTGAATATTCTTCCAGTTCCGCCTGTGTCAGGTGAGAGTGGGGTCCTTTGGAGTCCTCGTTGTAGAAGTTCTCTATGGATGGATCTTGGTAGGATCTCGCGTACTGCTCTAAATCGGCTTGGGTGAGTTGGGGTTTGCAAAATTCGCGTTCCGGAGGGGATGGCACTGAATATTCCATGTCGCCGAAGGGTTTGCCGTCGCGATCCACGCGAGGCAGGTACATGTGGTCGTTGATTTTATTCAGACGCGACTCGTAAGATTCAGGAGGAATCTTTTCACACCTTTCCATCACAGTTTTTAGTTTCTGAAAAAAAAATATTCGTAATTTAGTAGAATTTAGCACAGATGGAAAGATGGAATTGTTGAGTCCAAAAAGTGTGCTTACTATTTATCTGTGTCAAACTACCAATAAAATTCTCTTTAGAAATTGGTTTTATTTTTTGTTTTTGTTTCATTTGTTTTTTCTTTTGTTATTGTTTTGTTCTAATTGTTATTGCGAACCCACAAAACGCAAGTCTGTCTTAACCAGGGCAAGTGACCACACGTTGCACGCAAATGTAAACACGCACACATACGTGCACAATATTGGTTAACACGAACCCGCACTTTGTTAACATATGGAAAGTGCAATTGGCGATGCGTACCGACTTGTGTATTTTTCACACATTCAAGTAAACACTCCGTTAAACAACGAGGACTCTCTTACGACCAGTTCGCATAAACAAAAACCTTAATGCAATACACTTTACGTAATGCAGAGTGTAATGCACAATTTTGACAAATAGAAGGTGGGTATTAGGTACACAGATAACTGTGTTACAAATATGTAGATATAGAATAATATCCTTTCGTCAGCAGGGTTTATCAGGCCTTTTGTAACTAATAACCAAGTATACTTCGTTTAGTTTCTGTAGCGATGTGACCTTAAGTTTGACCGGCGCAAAGTAGAAAAGAACAGCACTAGGCCAGAAAAGGAAGGAGACAACTCTCGGCCAAACTCTTAACCGGTGAGGAGCGTATAATCCGTACAGTACTGCACGGAAAAATTGACCATTTT